ACATGCTGGGGGAGCGGGCGCGGACGGTGGGCGTCAAGGGCTACGCCGAGCTTGTGGCGATGGAGGACCGTCAGACGCGCGGCCTGCGCAAGGTCGCCATGGGCATCGGCAAGGTCTTCCGCATCCCGAAGGATCGAAGAACAGCACATCGCGTATAGACATCAACGCACAGGAAGATGAGATTGTCGATGCCGCGGCTCGTCCCGGGGAGATCCGTCGTAGCCATGGTTGGATTCGCCTCGAAATCCTGGTCAGAGCGCACCCCGGGAGAGGCTTGGGAAGGAGCGGTCACGGTGCTCTTCTGTCCTCCCGTGAACCTTCCATCGGCACGAAGGAAATGGGTACGGAAAGAATGGGCACGATGCCCAACAGCTGTTCCTGCCCATTTTGAGCAGGGCTCGCTGTCCGCGCCGCCGCGGCCTGTGCCCACTTGGGGACAGAAGGCCGCCTGGCCAACAGCGGCCGCTGCTGCTTTGGGACAACATTTGCTGTTGGGCACTGTACCCATGTTTTCCGTGCCCATCTCGGGTGTCCAAATTCTAGGGTCTCCCGCATCCCGAAGAACCGAAGAGCCGTCATCGCCATGGTTGGCCTCTCCTCGGAGTCCTGGTCAGAGCGCGCCCCAGGAGAGGCTTTGGAAGCAGCGGTTACGGTGCTCCTCTGTCCTCCCGTGAACCTTCCAGGGTCTCCCGCATCCCGAAGAGCCGAAGAGCAGCAGGTGCCCACGCATCTGGCGCTACGTGCTCTTTCGATACCGCACGTTCTTCTTCAAGACGTTGCCCTCCGGGGGGGGGAGGGGGCGGGCGCCTTCCTGACCCTAGGACCATCAGGCATGGATCCAGGGCGGCAAGAACTACCCCCAGGGAGAACCGTCTGGGACCCCCCCTGGGGCCGCGGACAGAAACCATCAAAAAGCAGATGCCAGAGATTGCTGATGGGCTTGTTTCCCACCGCCACCACCACCAGAAGTTCGGAGGGGGGAAAGAGGTGGAGGATGAGGAGGAGGAGGAGGAAGTCGAAGAGGGGGAGGATGAACCCCTTCCCCCTCCAACTTATGGCGGTGGTGGTGAAAAACAGGCCCATCAATTGTACAAGCGTGAACATGTGACTTGGCATCGCTCGGACGTGTGCCTTTTTTTTCTCGGCGAGGACCGTCGAGGAGCATCCAGGACCGTCGAGCAGCAACGCAGCACGCACGAGGCCGAACACTGCACGGGGAATGAACGTCCGAGCGACGGCAAGTTGAGGATCCGCGCAAATTTCTCGGAGCTGCGCTGGTCCTCCCCCCCCCCCTGGCGGCGCCTCCGGCGCCGCCCCTGGAGCGCGGAGCGCGACATGGAGGGGGGGTGGGGCGTCTCCCAGGGCCGACCGCGGAGACCCGCTGGGACCTGCGGAGGTATACTCCTTACCAGCCTCGAACGTACCCCTATCCCCAAGATTGGCACGCCAAAAGGCGATGACAATCTTCGGGATCCGCCCTCAAAAAATAAGGGAATCCCTAAGACTGGCATCGTGATGAGGAGATGCCCAGCATAGGGATAGGGATATACTCCAGGCTGGTAAGTTCCTGGAGCAGCTCCGCAGCTTCTTTGTCGGGTGTCTGGCGCTGCTCCTAGCGCCCAGTGAGGGGCGCCGTGGGCCCCCGAGATCGGGTGGTCCGTCGTTGGCCCCCCCCTCCCCTGGGGAGGGCGAGAGATCGGTGGCCCCCCATTGCGAATGAGCCCATCCACCTATCCTATCCTTTCCTGTGCCCGCTGCCCTCTTTCGGCTCATAGGTGTTCGAACACACAACGCTGACTGTAGGACAGTGGAGGAGGGTAACAACCTACATCGTCGTCGTTACCGCCTTCACCGACGGATGCTCGGGAGGGAATCGGCCCCTCGGTCAACCCTTCCCTCATCAACCCATCGTGCACCCCGTTGTGGCCGCCCATCGCCGCCCCCTAGAGCTGTGTGTGTTGGGCGTTTTGCCGCGATGGTGTCATGCTTGTGCCGTTGCTTCCCCGAGCCCCAGGAACTCGCCGAATCTCTGAGAATCCCGATTTATCCCTACCCGACATTATCTTCGTCCTGGCATAGAGGATAAAGTACCCCTTAACCCGAATAGCACGATGACAACGTAGCCTCACTGAGGTCCCCGTCATCGCATTAGGGAAACTAAATCTGGACGGTTTGGTTCGATACTTCTGCAGGATAAGGCCCCAGATCCCTAATATCTTTGGCCCTCCCAACCTAGGTTCCCTCCCAAAAGGGTTCGGGTACTTGGGTCTATCATTATTCATACCCGAAGTTATCCTCATCCTGGCTGCGTCTGGCCCTCTGCCCCCCCAGAGGAGCACCCCGCGCCCGCGGAGGCGAAGGCGGCGGCCGCCGCTGGCGACGAGGCCGCGGCCGCGGCCTGCGCGGAGGGCCCGCAGGGGCAGAAGCTCCTCGGGGCGTGAGGCGGCGGCGGCTTTCAGTCAGGGGCAGGGCTAGGGGGGGGGATAGGCCCAGAGCGGAAGAGGCTCAGGATATAGTCAGGAGCTTCAAGGTTTGCGGATGTCTTCGTCGGTGCTTGGGGGATCCCAGCCTCGGGATGCCCTCCAGCAGCTGCGCCTCGCCGAGGGCGCTCCAGGGGGGGGCCCGAATAGTTCCAGATAGCTCGTAGAGCTCTTCGGCAAGATGAGCTAGAGGAATTCCGGCGCGGGGTGGAGCTAGTTGGCCGACCCGACCAAAAGAGACAATGTGACAACTTTGGGTCGGTTTTCCTAAGATTTGAAAGATATTTGACAATTCATTTGAGAAACCAAGTGGCCGCCGGAGAGCCGAGTCTTGGCCCGACAGGGGGGGCAGGGGGGACGCATCCACCCCCAGTCGCCCATTCGTCGCTGGCAGGGGTCCGATAGCCCAGCCCGCTCAGGAACGCTCGGGCTCGCTACCGGGGGCCTATCGCCGATCTATCGGCGATGTATCGATGTCTACCCCCCCCCTGTGCCAGTCCCCCACTAACGCTGCCCCTGCTTTCGCGCGCGCGAGGGCGCGCGCGAAAGGCTGCCGTGGGGACGACGATAACGACGACGACGACGACGACGACGACGACGACGACGACGACGAGGGCGACAATGGCGACGATGACGGGGGCGACGAGGACAACGAGGGCAGTGACGACGACGAGGACAACGACGGAGACTGCGACGCCAATGACGCCGACGCGCGCGCGCGAAGGCGCGCGCGCGCGCTCCGCAGTGGCCGCCGGGCGCGTGAGGCGCCGAGGCGTCGCGACCCCTAACGATCACGCAGTCAACCCGCATAATAAGGATGCTCGATTTCCCAAGGGGGCCCTTGCACCCTTGCCTTAAGTCGGCCCTGTCCCTCTACAGGAGGAATATTCATACATAGCGCAAAATAGTCTGGGGACGATTTTTTGGCTATTATAGTTTGAACTATTTAACATGTTTCGTCCAAAATCCGCCAGTCGGGGGACATGCCCGACCTAACCCTTGCCTCTTCTGTCATCTTCGGTCCATCCTCAACCACTCTCGATGGCCAGCCCCGCTCGAAGAGCCTCTAAGATGGGCGTTCTTCAAGGCCCCTGCATCCTCACCGCGCATCCTTCTTGATGCGGGTCCACTGTCGTGCCGTAGGCCTTGCCTGACGTGCACGGGCCCCCAGGCCCTCACGGATCGATCCGGCCAGAAGAGTGCCGCAGAAAGATGGTCAGAGGAGGGCGGGTTGAGACAGCGGTACTTGGCTTTCGGGGGGGGACGTCGTCGCCCCGGCTGGACGCGGCTCGGATAACGGGTGCGTGTGGACCCCAAGAGGGGTCCAGGGATCGGTTTTGAGTTGCCCTTGTCTCAACGTGCCCTGCTCCGAGATGGGGTCCTGGGCTCCGGTCGAGTCAATCGTGAGGTGGTGTCTTTTTGTGCTGTGACGTTGGATCTCAGGGAACAGGAATTCTCGGCCTCGCATGAGAGTGACCCTCTGGCACGCGGCCTTCGGAAGAGTGGGGCGCCCTCGACGGTTCCCGGCGGCTCTCCCGCCTTGGGGGTTCGCTCTGGCAGCTGTGCCTCGCCGGCTTCTGGGCGTGCCCAGATCGTCCCGAACAGCCGCCAGGGTCCCGAGTTTGGGTCCGAGAGTCGCCAGCACAAGTCAGAGATTTGCAGATTCGGCTGCGCCTCGCCGAGGGCTTTCTGGGGTGGCGCGAATCGCCACCAACGGCCGCCGGAGGGTCAAGTTGTGGCCAGGAAGCTGGGTGACCCTTTGCCGGAGTGACCGCTGGCACGGTGGAGACCCAGGCCAAGAAACACCCGGCTTGCCTCCAGGGTGCCCTGGGTTTCTCGGGCTTCGATGACTCTGCCACGGAGAGCGTGACGCCCCCACACCGAAAGTCCATGGACGTCCTGGGGTCTCAGGGTTGGGTTTCTGGTGGAAGGTTTTTAGTGGTCGGGCCCCCTTTTGTACTCGGCCTTCGGGGGGCGCTGGGGGGGGAGAGGGGGCGGGGCAAACCCGAGCGCGCGAGCCGCCCGCCACCGTCCGCACTGCATGCAGCGACCGTCGAGCCGCGCGCCGAGGGTCACTCCTTGCCTGGGATCATCTCGGGCCGGGCGAAAGGGGGGGATTGGGAAAGGGGGGGTTAGGAAATTTGCTGCATGCAGCTGGTTTCGGCATCACCGAGGGGCGCCGGGAAAATCAGCTACGTGAGCTGATTCTCAACCCCCCCCTTTGCGATCCCCCCCTATCGCCCGACCCGAGGATCGCTCTGGCGTCTGGCTGCCGGGTGGACAGCGCTTCGCCGGCACGGGGCCCTGCCATACCAGCAGCCACGTGGGCGACGGCAGAAATCAGGAGGGGAAGAAGCACACAGACACAATTATTCGTCGATCCCTAGGAAAATATGGGAAAATATGGAAGGGGGGGGGAAGACAACAACCCAGAAAATATGGTAAAATATTGGGGATATTTTTATTTGTATGTATTTATTTGTGTCCCAGGGCCCCTTCAAGAAAACGGGGTCGACGGCGCGGACATTCGCGGGTAACCCTTTGTCCCGGATAATAATGACCGCCCCCCCCTTGATCTCGGGGGCGGAAAAGAGAGGGGTGATGACTAGGGGGGGGGTGGATATCATGGCGGGGGCCATGATATTTCCCCAGATTTCAGGGCGCCCCTTCTTGTTTCA